AAATAAGCATTCTTGCTGGAATTAAAGTTTAAAACAAGTTTAATTCCAGTCAAACATTCAAATTTCAAGAGTTGAAATTCACTTTCATTACACTTTAATTCAATAGCATTCTCCAGTGAAAACGAAACTTGAATTCAAGTCGAAAATTACAATGTTTTTACAGTATAATTCAATGCACGAAATCTATATACATATATAAAATTCTAACGTTACTGACTGACTGACTGATTCATCATCGCACAGTCTAAACGGTTTTAGCTAAAGAGCTGAAATTTGGACAGGAGGTTGGTCTCCCACCAAATAGAGCCACTAAGACGGAATTTTTGGAAATTCGAATGATTAGGGGGTTAAAAATGGTAAAAACGGGTAAATTCGATAACCTCATATCTCCTAAACTATAAAAGATACAAAAACAGTTTAAAGCTTATCGTCATTCATTTAAAAAATAAGCGGACAGGTGTCTGGTACTTTTTTCAAATTCGGGTAGAAATAAACGGGTAGAAACTGTAATTTGGTACTTCTTTTGCATCCCATGTATCTTTTAAACCAGAGAACATTAAAAAAATATTTTTGAATCCTTCATAACTTGACGAACAAATAAAAATATGAATTTAGTACTTTTTGGATATTCGGACGTTTAAGGGGTGAAAATTGTACCTATTTTTGGTACTTTTTTATAAAACATTGTGTTATTATTGGTTTATTAACTTATACATATGAATACATAATAACGGGTTCCCAATACGATGATGCAACTGGTACTTTTTTGACTTAGAACTTAGAAACATGTAATTCAGCACTTGAGAATCTATAAAAGTGGACATTTTGGTACTTTTTCGTTATTCAAAAGGTACTTTTTGAGTTTTCTATTAAATTGAACATAGAAACATGTAATTATGCACGTAGAGCCTGGAGTAAATGAGAATCTATAAAATGGCACTTTTTGGTACTTTTTGGTACTTTTTCGTTCTTTGACTGGTACTTTTTGAGCTTGCTACAAAATTTGAACCTCGAAACATGAAATTAAGCACTTAGAGCCTGGAGTAAATGAGAATCTATAAAATGGAAACTTTATCGTACTTCGACTGGTACTTTTTGAGTTTTTCATAAAATTAAACCTAGAAACATGAAAATAAAATGTAGAGCCCGGAGTAAATTATAATCTATAAAAAGGGACTTTTTAGTACTTTTTCGATCTTCGACTGGTACTTTTTGATTTTTTTATAATATTGAACCTAGAAACATATTAGGAATGTACAGCCCGGATTAAGTGATAACATATAAAATGGTACTTTTTGGAACTTTTTCGTTCTTCAACTGGTTCTATTTGAATTTTCTATTATAATGAACCTAAAAACACAAAACTAAGCAATCAGAGACTTGAGTGAACGAAAATTTAAAATGGAGTATTTCTGGTAATTTTTCGTTTTTTAACTGGTACTTTTTGAATTTTCTAAAATATTGAATATATAAACATAAAATTAAACACGCAGTATCCTAATTGAACGAAAATTTATCTCGCTTACGTCCATTTTGCAAAAAAGACTCGATATCAATCGAAATATCTATAGGCCATAACTGACCCTGCCCCCTTCAATAATTGATTTTAACGTTTTTTACGTACTTAATAATACCATAATAAAACAATTTTTGTTGGAACGAAAATATGTAATGCAAATATGTATATGAAATCTTCTTGAGAAAATTACTTAAACGCACATAAAGGGATTTCAAATGTCGATGTCGACGAAAAAAACATTTTTAGGAACCGAAACCTACATTTATGAAAAATAAAGTTATTAGGATCGGTCCGCCAATATAATCCTCTTACAGAAAATCAGTTTACAGCTAATACATCATTCCAAAAGTTATCATTATGATAGAATTATTGTAGAATTAAAAAAATACTTTAAATTATATATATTATTGATCCAATTCCACATTTAAGTCCCTAATCCTAAAATCACGGTGACGTTCTTTTAATCTAATGGTCCTATTAATCTAATGATCGGACCACTTCCGAAATTTGCTTTTTTACGACATATGATTTGCCGAATATAACTCTTACTTCTTACTTATTTTAATCATAAATTACCGCTAAAATAGGAATAGTCTGCCTTTAGAGTTGCGAGTTTCCATACATTCTAATAATGTTTTCAAAGTGAAACTTTTGGAATATTTTTCAATCTCTTTGTGATCCCTTTAAATGATGTTGTTCTGGAAGAACTTTAACATCCATGTAAACATTTTGGGTAATAAATTGGGGGACTACCAATGAGGGGAGCGGAAATTCTTCAAATTTTGCACGAAGAACTTTAATATTCATCTGAACATTTTGGAGAAAAAAGTGCGGACTTTCATCTGGGGGGCTTGGAGCTCCCATATGAATTAAATAGAAAAATTCGTATATCTGAGAAACTATTAGAGCTAGAATCTTCAAATTTTGCTGAAGAACATTTAGAGAATAACGGGCGGACTTTCGATGAGGGGCTTGGTAATTCCCATATGAATTAAATACAAAATTTTGTATACCTGGGAAACTATTAGATTATTCAAATTTTTCATAGATTAAATTAAAATCTTAATTAACGTTCGGAATAATTGGTGAAATTGCAATAATTAGCGTGGAATCTCCCATATGTAACAAATTGTATATCTGGAAAACCATTGTAGTTAGAATCATCAAAATCGTTAAGTGGGTTTCTTATTTATATTGCTTTTAGGGTAGCACAGCACACTGGGTATAGCTAGTAAATAAACAAATAAAATATCTTTGTTTTTACGTTATTGATCATTTTCTTAATGCAAAATTTTTTAGAAACTGATTTTCTGCAAGATGTTTTATATGGAAGATAGGGTTAAATATCGGCAGATCCTAGTAAAACTTGTAGAAAGGATTTGTTTTTAATTTTTAAGAATTTTTTATTCATCCCTGCACAATTTCTCACACAACTTTTGAGCTTGCTATGTTTTGTTGTTATAAACAATATATTTGCTTCCAAAATCCCACTTTCTGATCTCTCGGATTCCGTTTTTATTTAAAATCGTTGAAAAATTAAAAACTAAACGTAGTTGAAAACCTAGCCGGCTTACAGTCGATTTTAAGCCGCCGCCGACATATTTAGTGTCAGTCGCCGCCGCCGTTAATATTTGTCGGCGCAGGGCTCTGTACATAATGTATATGCATAATTATAATCAGGGTACAGATAGCGATCGAATTCAATTCGCTCGCGAGCGAGTTTAATTCGAGCGATTTAAATAATTCATTTTCCGGCGAATAAATCTATTCGACTTCGATTTTTAAACTCGCGATAAGAGTTGAATATTTAAAGAGCGTAAAATAGAACTCGCTCGCGATTCGAGTCAAAACGAGATAATCGCGAGTTTTATAATTTTGTAAATTGAATAAATTTAAAATTTATAAGGCTAATCAAGGATAAGAAAAGGACAGAACCAAAGAAGGGGCCCAGTAAAAGAGGACACAAAGACAGAGAGGGACAGGAGGGGCGGCAAAGGAGGAGACACGCGACAGACAGAAACAGACAGACAGACAGACGACAGACAGACAGAAACAGACAGAGACAGACAGACAGACAGACAGACAGACAGACAGACAGACAGACAGACAGCAGACAGAAGACAGACAGACAGACAGACAGACAGACAGACAGACAGACAGACAGACAGACAGACAGACAGACAGACAGACAGACAGACAGACAGACAGACAGACAGACAGACAGACAGACATACATACATACATACATACATACATACATACATACATACATACATACATACATACATACATACATACTACATACATACATACATACTACATACATACATACATACATACATACATACATACATACATACATACATACATACTACATACATACATACATACATACATACATACATACATACATACATACATACATACATACATACATACATACATACATACATACATACATACATACATACATACATACATACATACATACATACATACATACATCCATACATACATACATACATACATACAGACATACATACATACATACATACATACATACATACATACATACATACATTACATACATACATACATACATACATACATACATACATACATACATACATACATACATACATACATACATACATACATACATAATACATACATACTACATACATACATACATACATACATACATACATACATACATACATACATACTACATACATACATACATACATACATACATACATACATACATACATACATACATACATACATACATCATTCAACACGTGTTTTATTATCTTAATAATAAAATTTTCCAAACCATTTGATTCACAATCAATAATCTAACTGCCTGTTTCACAATATCGAAACTACATTTTCTTTCTTATAAATATATTGAAAACAAAAACAAAATTTTTAATTTATTTGTTGTTTTCAATATATTTGTTTTCAATATATTTGGCATTTAGAGAAACAGGCAGTAATAAATAAAAAAATGTTTAAAGATCACTTGCATGTCCATCAATATACACATGTACATACATAACTACAGATAAAAAACATACACATTTAAATAAAAAGGTAGACAATATATTTCTTATACTTTCCCACTTTTGCTTTGTCAGACCGTCATAAAACCTACGGCTACACAATCACACATACATAATTATTTCCCATATTATTAGTTCTTTTTTACTACCACAACAGAACCTGTTTCTTGCACACACACTTTGCTGATTTTCGGCTCGAATTTAACTCGAACTCAACTCGTTTTCCACTCGCTCGTAAGCGAGTTGAAAAAACAAAAACATGTAAATATCGGTTACGAAGCGAATTCAAAACACATAAAACTCTAATTAAAATTGTGCTCGCGTGTTGAAAAATAAAACTCGCGATTTTGAATTTCAAAAAATTTCAAGCGATATAAATAAAATAGCGATCGCGAGCGATATTTTTAGCTACCCTGATTATAATAATAATTAAAATTTAAAACACATTAGAAAATTTTGACGGCTTACACCCAATTAAAAGTCACCGTCGCCGAAATTTTTAACGCCGCCGCTGACGTCGATAATGTTTATCGGCTAAGAGGTCTAAAATTCAATATGGCGGTTGTTTAATTAAAAATACAAATTTATAAGTTTTGCTCCTCATTTTACGTGTAATTTTAATTATTTAAACATTAAAATAGCGCAAAATAGTAACAATTTTTCATTAAATGTGCTAAGTGATATATACTTTATATATTTACAAAAAATAAGATGGCTAAAATCAAAGAAAACACTAGAAAAGTTGCTGCTGCTAAGAAAGCAACAACAATAAAAGCAAAAACAACCACGCCTGTGAAAACAATGAATGGAAAAGTACATAAAGTGCGTGTTAATGTAAAAAATATGAAAAAATCTAAAGAGGAAACCTCAAAAATAAATTCAATTGAATGTAATGATCAAACTGTATCACCAAAAACTCGTTTATGTTTTGTTAAATTACGACGCACCCTCACTAACAATACCAGCAGCAGCTCATACAACAATATTAATAACAACAACAACAACAAAACATTGCAGGCACAATGTAAAGTAAATGAAAATAATAATAACATAGAAGTGAATTCCCCAAAGCTAGATAGATCTACAGAGAAAACAAAAAAAGCAGGAAGACCAAGGAAAAAGCCCCTTGAAATTATAAATAATGCAGCTATTCCTGAGAAAGACGAAAATTTTAATGGTAAAACTTTGGCTGCAGCTTCAGAAATTCGAGATAATTTTGCTTTCAATATGAATTCTTCAACTAATAACTCTCCAAAACGTTGTTTTATAAAACTAAAACGTACAGCTAAGCAAACAAACAAAAAACAACAACAACCCCCTGAGGCTGAAGGTTTAAAATCGCAAAGATATAAAAGAGCTGCATTAAAAACTAATGGTTTAGAGCCTAGAACTCCTAAATCTATAAAGAACTGTGTAGTTAAATTAAAAAATACACCTCAAAAATCAAATTCAAAAGTGGTGATCGAAGAACCATCAACACCCAACTCTGCCAAAAAATGTGTAGTTAGATTGAAAAGAACACCAGTTATTGGAAAAGAAAAAGATTTCGTTATTGAACCAAATACTACTAGAGCATGTATAGTAAGATTACAAAAAACCCCAATTATACTGGGAAATAAAGAAAATACTGGTAAGTTATAGAAACTATTCATTTTTATTAAATTCAATTTCAATTTCAAATTCTTTATTTCAATAACCTAGCCTATATAGGCCATAATCGGTTATAAATTTCTACTTATGAGATTATAAATTTTATATAAAGATTATAAAGATTATAAATTCATACAGTTAGTATTTCTTGCAATTGCCGTTTTTGTTTAATTTTATTTTACTTTCTGAAATTGTGCAAATACATATTTTAGTTTATTTTTTATTTGTTATACAGTTTATTAAAACAGTAAATTTTCTATAAATTTTCTTTAAGTTATTATTATTAACAATTTCAGAATGCACAGAACCAGTAGCACCAAATCATCAATCCGCAATAGAAGTAAATAAACGTAATAATTTTCATAAATTAAGTTTAACAAAATCACTAAGGAAATCTCCAAAAAATAAAGAAATAGAAACAATAATACATTCAAAACACAATGGAGACCAAGAGACAAATAAACTAGAATCGGAAACAATTAATAATAACACAGAAACCAATAATTTAGTTAATCGTTTAAAACCTCAGAACTGTATTAAGCATTTCGCTAAATTATCCTTAAGACGAACAAATGGACAAACAAATAGAAATCTAACAACAAATTTGGAAGTAACACAATTTGAACCTCAACAAAATTCTACAATTTGTTTTGAACCAGCAAGAAATTCCACTTTATTAGAATTTGGTTTTACTAACGCCAAAGATAAAGTAAAATCCAAGCAAACTTCTAAAGACAAATCTTCATCTCAAAATCTAGCCAATAAATCTGAAGAAATAGTTGATCTATTAAATTCTCTAGATGAAGATGATGACCTTTTATTAAAGTCACCAGAAAAGCCGAATAATGAACAGGAGGAAATTATGGAAATACCAAACGAAAAAGAAGTTGAGGAAGGCATTGCAACAACTCAAAGTAATAGAAGTCCAGCAAAAAATCACACCCATAAATTCTTTCATCGTCATAAAGAAGATGCTGCAGAAAATATGACAAAAGCTTTTACTGAACCAAAACCTAAATCGTCACCTGCAGCAGCTAATGGCAAGAAACGACGTTTTTTGACAAAACGTTCTACTGTGGCAAAGCGAGATAATATCTACGAATTTTTATCACAATCTCAAACTTCCGATTCAGATGGTACAACAAAAAATACCGATCCCACAGCTGATATTATTAAAAAACTTATAGATCAAGGAAAAGTACGTGTGGCCACAAATTGTAAAGGAAAGGGTAAACCGGTATTTAAACGCAAGCCGCCACCGCCCAAACAAATGAAAAAAATAAAACCAACTGTGGACAAAAAATCAAAAAATACCAGGAATAACAAAAAGAAACCCGTAGTCACTAAGGAACATGCAGCTATAATAGATGATGAAGTTGATGTAATTCACATGGATGATGATTTTGATAATTATGAACCACTTTTACCAGATAATGACGACAATATGGAAAATCAAAGAATTGAAACGGTTAATAAGGCGTTAAACCATAATAACAATAGACATCATGTAAATGATCAGGAAGGTACTTTTAGTCGCTTGGCTAGAAGTGTACTAATAAATGAAGCGGGACGTTCCGATTTGCAAAGAAAAAATGCTTCCTTACTATTAGAAATGGTAAAGAAATTTGTTAGTACACCGAAAAACAAACAAATGCCTTCAGCTCAAGCAGCCTTAGAATCAGAATTATCTCCCATTCCTATACCGCCACTCAGGCCAGCAACAAAACCCTCACCTTGGCGCGTTGATGAAGATGCTTATTTACCTAAAACTTTCAATTTTGCTAGAAGTTCGGGAAATTTGCCATCATTTTCTAGTGATTTCATACCATCAACACCGAGAAAAGAAAAACCGAAAAGTCAAGCGACTATAAATTCTAAATTTTCTCCTATAATAGGTAATCAAAATACATCCAATGTAACACCTTTTCAAAGTCCTCTTCATAATAATGTAGAAAACATACAAGCACAAACATCCAACGAAAATTTGCCTGCACAAACACCTAATCAAAATGAACCATCTGTTCTCTCATCATTTTCATCCAACGATTCAAATGCAGAAAATATGCCACCACCTAGACCGTTACAGGAAAACAATAATGAGAATGAAAATATATTTGCTTTGAAACAACTTCCAAATCCTCGAAGAGCCCTCAACTATCGCAGTCCCCTGAAAGCCATTAATATTTTAGAAGTAGTACACTTACCACCCTATAAAAGTTCCAATAAAACACCCAATTCCAAGGAGCCGGCAACAGAATCAATTGAAATGTTTGGTTTTGAAGAAAACTTAGGTGATGATTCTTTGCAAGTCGATAAAAGTGTTGCTTCCATTAGTGCTTCACCTCAAGCTGACATTAATAAAATAACTAAAAACCGTCCTAAAGAAGACCTTTTCGGTTTTGAAGATTTTCTATCTCAAACTGAATATTCTAGCCAGGAAAATGATGAAACAAATAACAATGACATTACAAACAATAATCAAAATTTAACTATACACGATAAACTGCTAGATTTACGTAAACTAAAACCTGCTGAAAACGATATTGAATTAAGTAAACTTAAAGAAAATAACAGAAATCCTTTAAAAACCATATCTCTATTTGATGAAGAGGCTGCCTCAAAAGCAGATGGCTTTAGACAAAGAGGTATTAAAGAAATGCTATGCTCTACTCTGATAAATCCAAAGCCATCAACTAGTAAGGAAGCTTTAAAGCATTTAAATAAATCAAATTGGAAACATTCAAAAAGGCCAAATTTTGGAGAGGAGTTAGATTTAAGTGAACTCTTTAAAGATCCTGAACCAGAAACAACTTTCAACGAAAATGTAAGTACATATTATCATTATATAAATAATTTAAGCAATTAAAGTATTTATTTTTGTTTATTATCTAATTAACTAAAATAAATATTTTTATGGTTTACTAACCAGTTGCTATATTAAATTGAACTTTTGCAACAATTTTAATTTGTTTGCAACTAGTTCAGAGTCAACAGGGCCGCAAAGATTTAAGTTCTTCTTTGTTGGTAGTATAAAGCTCATACATTGCTCTTAAAAATATAATTTATTTTTTGTTCACTTAATTTAATACACCACTAATTATTTTTAGGATGCCCATCGTACATATATACGCCCCTATAAGCGTAAGCGTCGTTTAAAGCAAAATAAATATGTAATGTTTTTAGACAGTGATGAATCCGACGACGAAAATCATTCGGCTGAGCAACAAAAGCATCAACGTAGTCATGAAACTGATACTAGTTCGGAACAGGCTCCAAAAAAGAAACGTCAACGCAAAGAGCCCAAAGAAAAACCAGAACTTACTGAATTCGTCGAAGAGTTTAATGAAATGTGCAAAGAAGTTGATAGCTATGAGTTAATTGTGGAAAAGAGTGCATGAGAATTCAATAAAGTATGTATACTTAAAAATATATGTATTTTATTAAGAAATCATTTCAAATCCTATAAATATGTTTCCGTTTTAAATTTTTGTTTAGTTTAATACTTTTATTTGCCTTAAAAAGGATTATTATTTTAAATTTATGTATTTCGATTATGTTTAGTTTATTTTAGTTGAGCTGTGTTTCTGCAATTTTATTTTTTAAGTATTTTTTAACCTATTTTTCGTTTTGAGTGTATGTTCCAGAAGAAATATATTGATTGATTCAATATGCCTTATTTCTAATTATAGAAATTATTATTTATTTTTGTTTTGTGTCTACAACATGTCAAAGAACAATTAATTGTTGTGCTCAATAAAAACTAGATATGAATTTAAAACGACGCCTTTCCGCGACAATTGGATCTTTGTTTCGAATATAATCGACCACCATACATTGCCTATTTGATTGTCATTTGATTTAAATGAAAAAAGTTTGAAATGTTAATTTCTGAATCAGAGCCTCTATTGTTTGCATATTAGTGGATATTCATGCAAATACGCTTACCTTCCCCTAAAAAGATTTTCATAATTCTAAGCTTTCATATATGTAGCCTAACGAACAGCTGACGTCTTTTTGACACTCTCTCATTTATTTACAAGTGACTAAACAAAAGAGAGATACAAAACGAAATAATTTGTAGCAGCAGAAAAACAATCAAATCCACTGTGATTAATGGATTTTTGATAAATTTTTATAAAAATTAGAACATTAATTTAATTATAAAATAATTAGAAATAAAGAAAAATTAATTACAAAACCATAAAGTTTATAAAAACAGCAATATAATGGAAAGTCCCTATGCACCATTAAGTGAATCCTGTGCGAAAGCTCTAGGTGATAAAGTTTATGATAAACGTAAATTGGCTTCACAGGAAATAGAAAAGTAAGTTGTTTTTTTAGTAACTTAATAATGGATTAATAATCAAAATTTCCTAGAATGGTAACGGATTTTAATATAAAAAACAATTCAGCACAAATACGTAAACTAATAGAAGTATTGTCAAATGATTTTGCCTCTTCACGAGATGCTAACAAAAGAAAAGGTGGCCTAATAGGTTTGGCCGCCACCAGTTTGGGTTTGGGAAAGGTGGGTGTGTATACTACATAGTGGTTGAGTTAACATTATATTTATTTTCTCTTAAGGATTCCTCTAAATATGTCAATGAACTGGTTACTCCCATACTCAATTGTTTGAGTGATCAAGATTTACGTGTACGTTATTTTGCCTGTGAATCACTTTACAATGTAGTTAAAGTGGCACGTTCCTCCATTATACCCTTCTTTCCTGATTTGTTTGCGGCCTTATCACGTCTAGTTGCAGATTCCGATCAAATGGTTAAAGATGGCAGTGAATTGTTGGATCGCTTACTTAAGGATATTGTTACCGAGTCATCGCAAACCTTTAACCTGGAGGCTTTTATACCTTTGCTAAAGGAACGCATTTATGTCAAGAATTCTTTTGTTAGACAATATGTTATCTCCTGGATTTCTATATTAAATGCTGTGCCTGAAATTAATATGGTCATCTACTTAACGGATATAATTGATGGTCTCTTTACCATGTTGGAGGATAATACCCAGGAAATACAAAGAATGTGTGAAACTACTTTGACACAATTTCTTAAGTCCATACGTAATGATTCCAGTTCTGTCAAAATGGAAGATACCATCAATATACTCATAACACATGCACAATCACCAAATGAATTGATTAAGGTGGGTTAATAGAAGTAAATCCTGAATTATATTTTATAAATAATCGTTTCTTTAGTCTATAGCCATTACCTGGATACGCGAATTTGTTATAATATTTGGCTCGAATGTTTTACCCTATGCCAGTGGTATTTTCACCGCCATTTTACCCTGTTTAGAATATAATGTGGACAATATGAAAAATATTAAAGAATGTGCTGTTTCGGTTAATAAATCTATGATGAATTTAGTTTCCTCCAAAGAGCATAAATCGAAAAATATTGAACAAATAGAGTTACGTTCTATAATGGCTGTATTGTCACAATATCTAACACACAATTCGGTACAAACTAAAGTGGCGGTATTGGAATGGATACACCATTTACTTATAAATTTTCCCAATGAAGTAAGTTTTTAAATTAATTGAAACTTAACAATAAAATATGTTTTTATACTTTTTTATCTAACATTTTAGATGGCCAATCATACCACCCAATTGGGTAATAATCTTTTGAATATTTTGTCAGATAATTCAGATGAAGTGGTTTTGAAATGTATTTCCGTTTTGGCAGAAATTGTCAATTCTCAACACTCTAAAGGTTAGTTTAATTATTTAGTGAAAATGTAATAGGTTTATTAATTTTCTGTTTTTATTTTAGAAACCACTGATTTCAATAAAGCCCATTATCGTAAATTTTTATTAAGTTTAGTTAATTTATTCAATGATGACAAAAGTTTCTTAGACAATCGTGCCAGTCTTATAATTAGGTATGTTTCCTTATCAATTTTTGTTAAGCGTTTAATTTGCATTGTAATTTTCTTTTCCTTTTTAGGCAACTTTGCGTTTTATTAAATGCTGAATATATTTATTTGACATTTTCGGAAATCATAGCTGAAGAATTGACAAATCTTAAATTTGCTTCATTACTGGTACGTCTGCTAAACAGTATATTGATGACCTCTTCAGAATTATTCGAATTACGTTCTTTCTTGAGAGATATTTCTTGTGAAAAGTCGGCTAAACTTTTTAAATGTCTTTACATAAGTTGGGCTCATTGTCCCGTCTCTACGCTTTCTCTGTGTTTGTTGGCTCAAAGTTATCAACATGTTTCGGAACTGGTAGTGTTATTGTAAGTTTTTCCAGACTATAGACCGGAGTACAAACTAGACTATAGGATAGGTTATAGGCAGGACTATAGACTAGTCTATAGACTATAGCCTAGACTAATCTAAGACATAATATACACTATAGATTAGACTATAGCCATATATGATTATGAGCACTTATCATTTGTTATTATTTAAACAGTGCTGATGTGGAGATAACATTGGAACTCTTAAATGAACTGGATAAGCTGGTGCAGTTAATAGAAACGCCCATTTTTGCATGTAAGTTTTATAATATTTTAATGGCAGGTTTTTTTTCTTACATATAATTTTCAGCTTTAAGACTTACTTTGGTTTCGAAAGCAAATAATTGTGCTGATGCCCAGTATTTGGCACATGCCTTATTTGGAATACTAATGTTACTACCTCAAACGGATGCATTTAATATGCTAAAGAATCGTTTGCAATGTGTACCCAATTACTGGGGACAACAGCCCATGTAAGTTATGGAATGATTTTAATATTTTAAATACATCAATTATATTTATTTCCTTCCTCTATCTCTCAGCAACGAAAAACATTCCCTACAATATAAAAGTAATATAAATTTCGAAGAATTATTGGAGCATTTTAAAAAGATACAAAAAGCCCATCGTGATCAGCGTCTGACACAACGGAAACGCAGTGTTATAGTAAATGATACTGCTATATAAACAAAGTTTTTTTTTTTTAGATTTCTTACAATATTAAAATTTACATAAATTATTACATTTTTAAGCTGTGATGCTAACAAATATTTATAATTTTACAAATATTATGTTGTAAATTTTCATTATTATTTAAAATTTTTATTATTTCTATTTTTTGCGATTTTTTTTTTTTATAAATTATAGAAAAAAAGTTCACAATAAAGGCTTTTTATATGATCTTGTTATTAATGGAAGATAAAGAATATTAAAATATTTATTTTAAATCAACTCAAATATGTACTCTTCATCATCTACAGAGTAAAATTTAGTTAAACTCTTCATCATGGCTTTTCTCTGTTCTATTTACATTGTCTTTCCGGCAATACCTTTTTCTCATATTTTTTGTGAATTAATATTATTAAAAATGTTAAAAAGACAAGAGTTTCTCTTCTAATTTATTTCAATTGAAAAAAAAAAAAACGTTTTCTGACGCATAACGCTTGTCGACAGCGCTTGCAATTGTAATCGTACTATAACAATGACTAATCTACTACCTCTTTTATACAACTGTGTGTATTAACTACAAATTACTTCACTACTGAGAACGAAGAAGAGAGCAAAACAATTGTCAATTGAAATTGTCAAAAGCATCTGATTAGTTTAATTACCAGCAGCAGTCACTTTTTCACAAAACACTTGTGTGTTGTTAAATTTTACGTTTTAGTTTTATTTTCGAAACAAAAATAAAGTGTAACTAAAAGTTTAAAGAATCAAATAAACAAAATGGGTAATAAATCTTCATTATTGTTGCGTCCCGAAGAAATTGCACAAATTCAAGAGGAGACTGGCTGTAAGTACTAAAGAAATCTCACATCTCTACTATAACTTTCATCATCATTCATCAGTAAAACAACCTTCAGCTAGAATAAATAAACGAATTCATATTACGGGGTCAATTTTGAAGTTAGTAAAATGTACAAATATTTCAATTACTTTTGTATTTTATCAGATAACAAGTGTTTTTTTCATATTATTTATTATCTTAACTATTATCTTTATTTAAGCAATAATGAAAAGTACTATGTATTATTTATTTTCATTTAGCTTCTATTTTTATACCATTAATTGTTATTTAGTTGCTAATTGACTGTTTAACACATTTTTAAGTTGAGCTAATAGAAAAGTAAAGTCGGTCCAGAACTACTTGATGATACTCTACAGCGTTTTGACAAAATTTCGGGGGTGTTAAGGTTTGCGTCACATTTATGGCTAAATATAGACGAATATTAAACATTTTTACAAATGACTGGAGTTTATAGGTGTTGTAAACCTTTTACATTTTACTATAGGCACATTCTTCTTGATGAAAACGATTATTTACGTGTGACTTTGTAACAACAATAATAGATAGTTCCGTTAATAACCATCAGTTCGACAAAGAGTTAAAGCATTTGAAAATGACAGTCATTTCCACTAGCGTCTAACCCCGTTGTTGCCTTTAATTTGTCTTTCGTCATGAATGTATTCTTTGTAAACGAGACTGAACAGTCATTACTTGAGTGTCGCTTTTGTAAGCGAGAACGGAGACAATAGTCAGTTTACTGTCCAAAAGTAATCTAGAATGTAGACACTTAATAAAAGAAAAGCGAAAAAGGTTCGTTGCCATATATAGACTCCTTATGACTAGATTTCTGACTGTCTCTTTATAATCTATAGAGTGATAATTGACTTCCTCCTAGGACAAGTACATGTTCAAGTAACTAATCATTTGGGTAGTCGGAGGGCTAGTTCGGGACAGTCCCGCGAACTGCTGGGTAGTTTCAGTCAAATGAGTGCCACTGTTCTTGTAGGTTTGTGTCTGTGTTTCTTTCGGCCATTAAATTGTTTATGCTGCATTTAGATAATAGAGATGAATATGTTGAGAAACTAGAAAAATAAATATTTTTGTTTAGTTTAAGCTGTATTAAACAAAAAGTAAGTAAGAATATATTTCACAAATTAATGTAGAACATAATTGAAATTTATTTATTTACTATGGAAGGAAAATTGTACAATAAAAATGCTTAAAATTTGTTATAATGGGTGTAAGTGTATGTATTATGTATCCCTAGAAAAGTCTTTAGAACGATCACAAGATATACAATTATTGTTAGCAAATAAATTTTATTTTATTACATTTATCTAGTCATTAAACTAGGTATTCCAAATCACATTTGTTGTATCAAAAGTTTTATGAAATCTGGAGCAAAGGGAACGATTATTTAGTTATTATTCCCATCTAATTAAATTTTTAAATTTTCTTTCATATTTAAATATTTTATTCAAATTACAAAAACTTAATACTATTTTAAAGGTTGTTTATAAACTACATTACTACAAAAGAAAAAAACTTAAATGCAGTCAACAGAAAAAGTATATACATACATACATACATACATACATATGTATTTCAATAATTATTTTGTTTTAAATCATCATCACGTGTTGATGCTTTTATGTCAAGTGGAAAATTTTGTTTGTTTTGTTATTAAAATTTCTAATTCGCTTATGACTTAAATTCATTTATTTATTTAACTAAAATAGGCACATAATTTGACGTAATGTTGAAAGCAAACGTACGAAATCGTATTTCATTTCAAGTTGCTTTCAACTATAATTTTTAATATGTGTTCTAAAATATTTATTAAATTATAATTACGTTATTTTCTTCTTAGATATTTAGTTTTTATTTGATGTTTATCTACAGTTTCATACGTATTAATGGACGTGTATATAATATATAATATTGATAAATATTTTTTTAAAGGTGATAAATTTATGAGTGTCAGCTTTCAAAGTTCTTATTCTAAATTGTATATTATGCGCAATTTATTGATAGTGATTTTTTTTGGAATGATAAGAATACAAAAACAAGAAGTAATTAGGAAACAACTTGCACTAAGAAGAAAATAATTTAGAATTTTTTTTTTAAAAGCTGAATTAAAGAAATACAATTTCATATTACAAGAAATTATATTTATGGAAATATTCTACATTATTCAAAAATTTCCACTAAAAATCTTTAATTTCATAAAAAAAACCTCCATTATTATTAAAAATTCAAAACATTCAGTAACAATTAAAAATGTGTTACTTAAAATTCAACATTTTTAATTAAAATTAAAAATTTTTGCTTAAAATTCATAAAAATTTTTGAGAAACATTGACTTTATTGTATATAGAAAACTTACTCCAAAGAATCACGACAATGTTCCACAGAACGGCATCCAGAAGTTAAGGCAATGTCACTAGTTCCATGATTGTTGTTTAAAAATCTAGAGTGTATCAGTTTGCATTCGTTCGAGAGCTACGAATAGTCAATTGAGGACAAATTTTAAAAACTCATTTCAATCATCGATTCGCTCATTTACATGTTTCACCTCCCCCCATTTGAAGCAGAACCAGTTTATAAATAAATTAATTACCACTAACAATAACAACAACACAACACTTTCAGTTACTCCCAATCAAATTGAACGTTTATATTCACGTTTCACTTCTTTGGATCGTGGTGATTGTGGTACCTTATCACGTGATGATTTTTTGCGTATACCAGAATTGGCCATTAATCCATTGTGTGAACGTATTGTTCATGCCTTCTTTGCCGACAGTACCGATGATCGTGTCAATTTTAGGCAATTCATGAAAGTATTGGCCCATTTCCGACCAATTAAAGATAAAAAGGAAAGCAAATTGAATTCACGTGAAGATAAATTGAAATGTAAGTACAAGGTTTAAACAAACATTAAAAGAAAATAAATTTAAGATTAAAAAAAAAAAAATCATTTAATTTTCCAATTCCAGTTGCCTTTAAAATGTACGACTTGGATGATGATGGTGTCATTAGTCGTGATGAACTCTTGAGTATTTTACACATGATGGTCGGTGCCAATATCAGCCAGGATCAATTGATTAGCATAGCTGAACGTACCATTTTGGAGGCAGATCTCTGTTGCCAGGGTAAAATTTCCTTTGAGGACTTTTGCAAAGCTTTAGAACGCACTGATGTTGAACAGAAAATGTCTATACGTTTCTTGAATTAAACCTATTGGGCAAAACAGCTTTATTTAATTATTTACACACAGAAAATATACATACATACAAATATTTTAAGGCTTTTTTATAAATAGTAAAAAAAAGTATTAACTTTAGAACAGTTTGTTTTTAATCTTATTTTTGTTTTTAGTTTAATTTTTTTTGTGCATTATTTAAGCTTTTGTTAAAATTTCCATTCATTCCGTTTGCTAACAATGAGTAGTGTTTGTTGTATAGAATGATTGAAAATGGCCTTTTTTAATATTATTGGTATTAAATTTATTAAGTAAACACTGAATATCAAAAAAATAAAAATGTGCAAATTGTGTACTTAAAAAATTTATAAATATGGAATTTATTTCTATTAGTAAAATGTTTAAAATTGGAAGTATGTAATTGTGGGATGAAGGAAAAGATGGTTATTTTCGGCAATTTTAGTTGTGTTAATGAATATTTTTTTAGTTATTACAGCATATATTTAGGCATTTCATTTAGTGATAACCCAGCCAATATGTTATGAAATTACTGATTATGTTCGAGTCGTTTATGGCTCTTCCATATGAATAAAATAGTCGCAGACGTACTGCGATCATAAAATATATTTTATTCTATTCTATAGAA